TCTTGTTTCTTAATACTTTGCTTAGCTTTTAGAAGGCATCTTTCGCTATCCCAATACGCTTCGGATTTCAGTGTCACACTTTCTGTCCTCTGTTAAATTACTTCCCAGATATTTAAATTTTTGTACTTGTTTGATTTTGGTTTCTCCAATTTGTAATTAGCATGTTGGGCTGTTTCATTCTGCATTCTAGCCATTGGTGTTTAGTCCTTTCTTCTAGCTTTCTTTCAAGCAATATGTGAAAGGATGAATATAAAGGACGTCATGTGATGTTTATAGGAAGGACATAACCATCCCGGGTGATATCTGTTATACTCCTATTTAGCACGCATGGCATTAGTTCGTTCGCCGAGCTGCTACCGGCTATTACATCTGCCTTTGTCAGTAGTTCATCAGCCATTGACTATGCTCAACCACAGGCCGTCGTCACTCACGGGGTGTGACTTGAACCAAAGAAGAACCGCTTAGGACGTTAGTAAATTCGCCCTGTAAAAAGGGAAATAATTAACTTTTGCATCTTTATACTGTGATATCACGGGTTGTATAAGCAGCTAATACGCAAAAGAAAGGTGGCTTAAGTAGCATTTTTATTCATAAGTTGCTTAATGCAGCAATAGTTTTTTTTCTGAAGAAGTTTTACTTTTCTTTACATTGATAGTATAATCTATAGTTTCCGATTTGATCGACAGGCAATTACGACCTCACAATTGTTTCTCTGATTAACAGTGCAACGTCCATTTCTTTTTATTGATCACGTGGTACAAAATCTCTGCACAAAAGAGAGAAAAGAAGGATGCACATTGGCTTATCACTGGCAACGTCTTGTGACTGATAAACCCAACTGATTCGACTTACCGTCAGTATGAACTATGTTACCTTTTTATACTGACCAAAATTTCCTGACCTACACTTCTTTTTATTACTAATTCTTTTTGTTTTCATAGGATTGAGGCTGCCGCTATGCCGGTATTGACCACTTTCCACTGCGCAAAGCCAGGTATTTAGACTTTTCAACGATTCGTTTGTGAACAAAAGTATCTGCTGAAACATCCCCGCATCGTTTCTTCCTTTTCCAGCTTCCTGTTCACGGCACTGTATCCGGTGCTTACATAGAACTAACGACGTGAGAAGGACATCATGGAATGTTCCGACAAAGTGAAGTCTTCTATTACATTTTGGTCGGGTTGACATTTGTAAGAGGTCTAACTTATGCGAGACAATTCCCGTTTTACTTATTTAATAAGTTTAGTGTAGTTTTGGTACAAATTCACAAAAATAGAGCACCTAGTAAGGATTGAACTACTAGTGATAACTGCCATCTTAGCAATTAAGTGATGATGAATTGGTCAAATAATTTCCTTTAATTCCAGGTCACCGGAAACTCTTTTTGAATCTTTGTGGATTACGTGATGTGAATATGAAAATTTGTAATGGGAACATTGCTGCTAAATTTACGATAGGCCATGTATGGATTTGCCATTAAGGAGATGGGGGAGGCAATTATTCAAAAAAGTATATACAAGAAAGAAAAGGAAATATCATATTATAATATTGCTTGTTCTTGCATTCCTTAATTATTTAGTATGCGCGTTAGACCCTGTCATTACCTCACGTAAACAATGGGTCATTCCGGCTTGATTGCCAGGGTAGACAGAACGAAGAATATAACAAAGGCGCTGTTTCATGCTAAAGAAAGAAAGAAAGAAAGAAGGGGTGATAATACTCTATGTGTTTAACGTCTGCTTCAGGGAAATGGAAAACCTTATCAATTTTTGTCAATAATAAACCTGCATTTATATTTAATGATTGTTATTGTAAATTTTTGTTAAAGCTGTTAAACTCAAATATTTATCGAAGGAAGCAAACTTAGTGATATCATAGCCGTAGAACTCGTAAGGGGCTTATTCAGCTATTAATTTAAGAATTTGGGTTCATCAGAAAATTAAAACGGGGGAAAACCGTGAAATCGTATCGCTAGTAAATTTAATTTTACAAATATTTTTTTATTTTTAAATATAACCCCAACCCTGTTATGAATATTATAGCTTTTCGTTAATGAAAATTATTGAAATATTTCAGGTAATTATATAAACCCTTGTTCAAATTAATTGAAACAAAAAGAATAATTTCGTTATTATTTACTTCTTTTTCGTATTTTTCCAATGAAACATGACCCAGTGCGCATGTTAGTACTTCGTATGTCCATTCCGCGAAGTCGTTTCTTACAGATTAACCAGAGATTCTCAACTGGATTTAAATCAGGAGAGTTTCCGTGTCTATATTCCTTTGATTTGCTCATTGGTAAGGCTTGCCAGTGTGTTCATGCAGTGTTACAATTTTCGTACGCTTCCTTGGAGTAACGTCCCTCTCAGACAATGGCCGTAGGACAACTAATCGACAGTCGAGACAATAGTGTCTGGACGAGTTGAAAATCTAATACAATCACGAATGGCGCAATATTTTTCAAGGCCAAAAGAAAATGTCATCATACACCCCGAAAATAGATTCGTATTACTGCAAATAACCTAATCTGAGGGAAAAATAGAAATCGATTCCACCCTGTTGCTCTAGTAGGTCTAAAACAGACCGTATGATGAAAGAAAGGAAACTAAAACAGTTGTTTCTATTAATATGCACAAGGGTGTACATCGAGGCTGTTAAATTTACTGAAATATAGCTTTAGGATCATATGCGTCATATTTTCCTGTGTTTCTTTATTACGTTGATTACGTTATGTTACTACGTCTACATATTTTATAAAATCTATGACGATGCTAGTCATCCTGGATATGACGATAAACTATATCCAGCAGCAAGGCCTCTGCTCGGGAGGTTTTGAGGAGCGTGGAAGAACCTCTTAATTACTGTAGTCCCGAAGTCCACCCTGACGCGGGTGGAAGCACCTGTTAGGGTCCCAGCTATGGACAAATAGCGAAACCCCTAAACTGGAGTCAAAACACTATAAAAGTATAAAATACATTTTTATAGTAAAAATACCAGCAATACATATTTTAAAAAAATATAAGCATTTGACTCTCGACAAAAACCCTCTTTACAAAAATACGTCAATGAAACCTGTTCTGTAAAATGATTTCTTACAAAGAATGCATATTCTATTCATACGAACCTATCCTAAAAAGAACTTGTCGGTATTAAATAACCCATTCAGGTTGATATGCTGTAAAACAAAATAAACGATAAACTATGCTAGTAAATAATATTCAATATTTTTGTTTATCTTTTAATTTAGGGCCCATTTATAACATATGATACTGCCCCGCATTAACTTAATTTGGTCCTGAGGAGCAACTTAATTTGGTCTTATAGGAGAATCGTAATTTCCTTTGTCTGGTAACAAAGCTTCAGATGTGCTAAAGCCTTTTACCAATGAAATTGTGGAACGTCTGGTTTTTTCATTCCCCGTCCTTTGATCGACCTCTGTCAGGACTGGCTCTCAGCCAATTGAAACCATTGCTATCATTTGGTAATCACGCCCAGGAGTGACCAGCGCGAAGCTAATCTATTTTTGTTGTGTTAAACTCAGACAATAATACATTGCAATAGTCACCTAATATCACAATAATGTTTTTACAGTAGCGATATTTAATTTCTGTTGAATTCTTAAAACGTCAGTCGTGTTGGTTCATAATATTTATATTTTGAAAATTTTTACCGTTTTTTTATTATTTTTATTCGACCTCAGTCAAGATAAAAAAAAAGTCCACGATACCACACCTCATTTAATTGTGAATTCCATAATCTTTTCAATGGCTTTACAGTATGTATATCACCAGAGCTAGATACCCATTGTCCCAAGGTGGATGGTGAATTTAGAGTTTTCGTTCTCTTAGACAGGTTACCAGTCTCAGCTAGAATCCCAGTCTGCCCTGTTATTTAACCTGTAGTTAGTTGGGGTTCTGGGAGAGGAGATGGATTCATGCCTTTTCTTAGAATATTTGTACGAATGTAAATATAACTAAATTGGTCAGCAGTCGATCTCGGCTTACGCACTTTTCTTTGCTGTTACACGACTGTACTTGAACTAAGTAGCGTTAATTTATTACGGAACAGAATGAAAATTAATTTATCTGAATTTTAAAAAAAAAATAAACACATATAAAAGCTTCTACAATAACTGACCCCTGCAACAATGATTCCAATTTAATCTCGCAGTCATCCCTGACCTCAGTCATAATTCTTCTGCTTTTCTTAGCGGGACAAAATGTACCAAACTTCTTAGTGGCAAACCTAGCAATTAATTCGATATAGTCATTCCAATTCATATCAACGAAAGATGTTAGATTAAGAAAGTGCAGTAAGTTATTCCTTTGCAGGTCATCATCAGCCATGATGACGGAAACCGGAAAAGGGTTTTCTAAGGTGATCAAAAGAGAGCAATTCAGTTTGGGAGGCATTGAAATTAACAAACTGTTTCTTGCCCCGGTTAACAACAGACAGAATGCCATTTTCGAGATCACCTGTCAATTTGACTTTATCGAACCCAGCAGACTTACCATTAAGACAGGAGTAAATAATTATGTCATCGGCATAGATACCGTGTCGAGAACACATGACAGATCGGGAAGTTCATTGATAAAATTAAGGAACAAAGTAGTTCTGCGGAAGAACCCTGAGAGTCCCTCGCATTTATCGAGAAGTATCTAGAAGAGTGACCGTTCATGATAACCCCCATTTCGCTATTTGATAAGAATATGCGCATGCGTGTACGTGCGTGCTTGTGTAGTGAGTTTTAGGGTCCCAATTTCTTTTTAAGTATATAGACGTTATTTAAAGCCAGAAAATATTTTTAGAATGTAAGAATTTTTTTTAGATAATAATGTGGTACAAGTCTTACTAATTAACCCATAGCTGGGGAGAAGAGGTGGATTCATAGCTTTCCCAAGCGTATTTTGCGCTTAACATATAACGAACCCAGCTGCAATTGGGTCTCGATTAACAATTCTAGCCGTTATCGATTACACCACCCGCACGTCCAAGTTTAGAGCACGTGATATTCCCAAGCGGTCACCCATCTAGGTACAGACCAGGCTCGATGTTGCTTAACTTCGTTGATCGTACTGGAACCGGTGTTTCAACGTGATATGGCCGTAAGCCCTATATACCATCTGTAACATCCGAGCTTACTGCACTTGATATTCCCAAGTGGTCACCCACCTAGGTATAGACTAGCTTTGACATTGCTTAACTTCGGTGATCGTACGGGAACCGGTGTTTTAACGTGATGTGGCTGTAGGCCCCACGGAGAAATTTATTAGAAATAAAAATGGAAATTTTTTTTTTTTTTACAGATGACCATTTTGTTTGTTTTTGTGTGTGTGTGTGTGTGTGTGTGTGTGTGTGTTTGTGTGTGTGTGTCTGTGTGTGTGTGTGTGTGTCTGTGTGTGTGTGTGTGTACATTATTCAAAAGGTTGTGATAAAAATAAGCAAGCTGGAGAAGAAAATAAGAAATCTTTAAAAAGCTTATTTCATTTATTTATCTATTTATTGTTTGTTCTATTTTGCTAAAGCTGGAATTCCCAAATCTGGGCCGCAAGGTGGCATTAGAAGCAATTATATTAGTTTTTAACAAAATCCATATGACAAAGTTGAAGTCCATCTCACACTTAAGGAACACGTTTAAAAATAACATAATAAACATAAGAGTTATACGCAAAAGCATAGTTTTATTTTAGTTTTTTTTTATTGCCTGAAGTTAAAAGGCTGAATGTTTGTATATTGTTGACATTACCTGTACAGGATGCGCCACCCGATAGCCAGATTAAACTGCCGATATTTGCAAGTGTCAATGCCCTAGGATTGTAAGTTTAACGATATAGCCATGGATGTTCGTCTGGCATCATCTTATCTAACGGCATCGAAGAAAAGCCGAAATATATATGTATGTAGCATTTGATTAGTCGTTGTTTTGAATTTGTAGTGTACCAAATACCAATAACGAAGAGTTTTCATATGGATGTGGGAGAGTTGTTGCCTGAGATTCAAGATGGGGGTAGGGGCTGTTAGAAAAAGTTTGAGAAATACTGTATTGAAAGAAACAAAAAATGAAGAAAGGGGTAAAGCAAAGCTCTGTGTTTGTCGTGCTAGTAGTAGTGACAGTGACAGTGATTTTTTTTATTTATTTTCGAACTAGCAGCATGGCCCGGCGTTGCCCGTGCTTGATTCAAAAATCGTACGACTCATACAGCAATCGCTATCTCTTGACTTAAAATATTTTTGCCCTTCCTTGCCTTTAAAGGAGTGCCCTTTTGCCGTGCTGATGTTGCTACATGCCTTACTTCTTGCGTATCTCACACTGCGAATTTTTTCTAAGCTCTATACTAAACATTAAATCTGTTACGAAAAAAGAACTAAACAAAATGAACACAAAACGATCAGCTTTAAAAAAAAGGACTCGTAACTGGAAAAACCGAATGAAAAAAGAATGTTAACAACAAATACTTTTTCACATACAACCCAGTTCTGAGGAATCAGAATCAACGTTGAGTTTAAACAAGCGAATGGGCCAATTGGAGTAAAGTGCCATGGAGATTTAAATTTTTACCACTTGTGACGAATTAAGCTATCGAGTTTTTTTGCATGCTAGCATGCTACTTAACATTCGTGTTAGTCAGCTGTTGGCTCTCACGCTGGCCAATAGAATCTTCCTTCGTATTCGTGGCAGCCAGCTATAGGCTCTCACTCTGGCCAGTAGAAAATGGCCGCAAACTACATAAAAACTGCCGTAGAAGCATGAAAAAATCGATTATTTCCACTATCGATGGGAGTTGGGAAATGCAAAGTCGGTCTTGGCTTTCCCGCTAACTTGGAGCATGTGCATGTAAATTTTGGTGCAAATCCGTCGAAAATTGCGGCCGTGCATTCGTTACGCACACACACACACGCACACACACGCACACACACGCACCCCCCCCCACACACACATCCTGCCTTTTATAGATAGAGATAATATTGAAGCGTTAACCCCATTTAAAAAATTGAAAACTATATTTTAATAAATTCAACATTACTCGTTACCAATTAGTTTAACGATTTAAAGATAATGATTAAAATGCTTATTCTATGAAATTTTGAGATGAAGGATTTTTTAAGTTTTATTGCAATTCTAATCATAGCTTTTCAAGACACTAAACATGGCCGAAGTGTGGTTACAATAAAGGCGGTGTCATGAAGAAAACTGTACTTTTTTGTGAGCACGAAGGTCCATGTTTGCCAATAATTCATTGGGAACTACACAGGCAGTATGGCCTCGAGTGTGCCGAGAAGTGGTACGTTCCGTTCATTCACCAACATCAGTAGCCGAGAATGAACAATGAAGCTCATATGGGATACGACCGTTTTGATTGACAAGCTAATGGAAAGAAATCGCCCTGACATCACATTTGCGCACAAGAGCAGCAATAAATGAATCCTGATAGACGTTGCGGTATCTTGCGAAAAGAACATTGTGATGGCGGAGCAGGCGAAAATACAGAGGTACCGTGACCTGTCAGGGTAAATCGGAGAAATGTACCAAGTTGTCTCTTTTTCTGATTGGAGAACCCGGGACTAACTCTACCTGACAAGACACCTTGTGGATACCTAACGTCATTGTGCTTGTGCAAGTAGCAGTACTCTTTGGAATTATGTGCTAAGAGAAAACTGCGGGTAGGAGTTGAAATGTGACTATCATCACCCGACCGACTCAACGAAGAGTCGAAGAGGAATAATAATAATAATAATAATAATAATAATAATAATAATAATAATAATAATCAGAATTGGAAGCATACCTCACTAAAACCAATGACCCTCTCCCTCAAATAGTAAAACACCAAACCTACTCCATCAACAAAGAAGCTGCAGTCTTCAAGAAACAGCTTAATATACCTTGAATAATACGAACAAAAAAATGAAGAGAATACCATCTACCCAAACGAGTAAAACAGAAAGTAAAACGAAAAGTCAAATAAAACGAAAGTCAAATGAAATTACAAAAAAAAAAAAAAAAAAAATGGGAGTACAAAGCGCTGTACGGAAAATACCTAAAAAAAAAAAACGAAAGGAGCAGATTTGGACCAACAAAAAATAGATCAGTAGCTGAGGAGCACCGGGTTAAAAGCTGAAACAAAAGGCCTAATTTTTGCAGCTCAGGACTAAAGCCTCGCAGCTAGATCCTATCACTGTCACATAATCAAGGATGGAACTAACCTGAAATACAGGATCTGCTGAAAATATGATGAAACTATCGACCGTATTATCTCAGGATGTCTAGAACTAGCAAAAAATGAATATACCCCCAAACATAACAAGGTTGCGACATATGTGCAATGGAAGATATGCAAGTAGTACAAAATCGAAACCATTGAGAGATGGTATGACTACCAACCAAACACAATTACCCAAAATTGCGATGTAACTATCCTCTGGGTCATGCCAATTCAAACTGACAGGAAAATAAAAGCCAACAGACCTGATATTAACATAAAAGACAAAAAATTCAGGTGTATACTTATTGACATAGCAGTACCATCTGAGTGAAACACCTACATGAATATTATAGAGAAATTGTCCAAATACAAGAACCTGCAGATCGAGATTAACAGGATCTGGGTAATGAAGACTGAGACAATACCAATAGTAATCGGAGCCTCGTGAGACAATTTTACTAACAGTGTCCCAGGTAACATCAACATTTTTCCCAGATCCCCGTACTAGGAATATCCCATATACCAAGAAAAGTACTATCAAATAAATGACATTTCTGAGCTCCTATAGGGCCTAAGGACCATAGTTTGGACCGGCTCTACAGGATACAAAGCAGGAAACATAGTATATGCAAATGATAATAATAAAATCAATGAAAAAGATGAAGTTAATTGTCTGAAAAACTTTTGAAATTATGAACTGATATTTCCAAGATTTAACTAAGTAAACCTTTTAACCACTAAAAGTAAAGATACATTTTCTTGGTGAAATATACAAGCACAAGCTTACACTTAACACTTACACACCCACAAACATAAATGATAAGCATTCTTATTTGTGTCATTCACAGCATATTGTTACATACTTGTTCACACTTGTACGCATGCGTGCTGTCATGTTTTATCGTAACACAAATTTATGTTTGTTACTGTTTCCCCATCGGTGCTGTTCTTAAGTCTTTCTCTTCCTTTTCCTGTCTCTCTTTCTTTCTTTCTTTCTTTCTTTCTTTCTTTCTTTCTTTCTTTTTCTTTCTCTCTTTTTCTTTCTTTCTTTCTTTTTCTTTCTTTCTTTCTTTCTTTTTCATTCTCTCTTTCTCTCTTTCTTTCTTTCTTTCTTTCTTATTTTACTTTCTTTATTCCTTGTTCAGCCATTTTATTTCTTACGGTTTTTTCTTTGTTATTCAATTTTCTTTTCTGTTTTCTTTATCGTTCACATTTCTTTTCTTCTTCGCTCAGTTTTCCTTTTTTTATTTCATTGTCGTTCAATTTTCTTTATTTCTTTCTCATTCAGTTTTGTCTCTTTGTCTTTTTTCTTTTCTTCGTCGCTGAGTTTTCTTTCTTTTTCTTTCATTGTGGTTAGATTTTATCTTTCTTTATTTCTTTCATTTGGTCTGCTGATTTGCTGAAATACTTTCGTATTTTTTACTGGTCCCAGTAATCGATGTTCGAGCTCAAATAAAATGGCGCGATTTCGAATGCTGATTTTCATGACCTCATCACTTGGATAAACTAACAGAAGCCAATCTTTTACCCCCACCCTCGACGATAAACTATTCTTCTTATATATCGATACGATAATTAACATTATCCGCCGTAGCAGAGATTGGTTTAGAACCCAGGTAAGAAACAGAATTTCGAATGATACTATTCTCGTTAAGTAAACCCCTATGCAGGGAGACTGGCGTAACACAATCTTCCGATCTTTCAATTCACACTTCTTCATTTAAATTAGTATCGTAATAAAATTAGTTACAAAAAGAAATTGTCTATTCATATTTATATTTCTATCTTTATAGATTAGAACAAGACATGCTAGAGTCAGCTTCCCTGCCAAGAAAGATTTTCTGTTACCAGAATGTCTGCTAGCAGGAGAGTTGATGAACTATTCTAAGGTACCATTCCAGCTTGTTCTACATCTGTTCGTCGTCCCTTCCCACTCATTCACCCTTGCACCTATCAACCCCCCTCTTCTCCCTCTATTTCTCTTTTCCCTTATTTCCAACCCAACTTATTTTCTTTACGTCTTATTTCCTTTCTGTTTGAGTCTCTTTTACTCTACTCTTTAATCTTTCTACTTCTTTCTTTTTACCATCATCTCTCCTCTCCTCCTCCTTCTCTCTCTCCTCTCCTCCTTCTCTCTCTCCTCTCCTCCTTCTCTCTCTCTCTCTCTTTCTCTCTCTCTCTCTCTCGAGCGCGATTTATTCGCAAAATTTTAAGTAAAGGAAACTGATTTAATTTTCCTAAATTAATAAAATAGAAGTAAAAAAAATTTTGCTATGGCGTAACGGTTAACGAGTTAGTCTTACAAACCCTTACTGTAGCGAGTTTGTTCCTTCTTGGTGTCCAATAGCAAAAAAAAAAAAAAAATAATCATAATAAAGTCCCATATAAAAATAATATAGACTAAAAAGTCACTATTTTCACTTTTATCTATAGAATATGGGACCTTCAACATCGGGCCGTGGGGTAAAAGTTGACAAGCTTGTTGTTTTGCAAGCCATTACGAATTTGTAGTTTTCATTTTGTGCCAGATTGTATTAAACCTTGCAAATAAATACCTAAGGAACCGAGGACATTTTTGATCATCTAAACCAATGAAAATTGGCGGCAAGTTCTCATCATTTTACAGTTGAGCTGGTTAGTTATAACCGGAAGTTCTATTCTAACAGTTTCTTTTCTCGCACTCCTCGCTTGTGAAATTCTCTTCCGGTTTCTTGCTTTCCAGTCAACGTCAATTTTCAAATATTTAAATGTAATATCAATCGTTATCTTCTGTTATCTTCTTTCTGTCCTTTAATTGTTCTTGCTCCTTAATTATGATTTCGTTTTTTTTATTTTATATTCGTTCACACTCAGTAACCTCCTTGCATCTTAGTGGCTTTGTTGACTTGCCTTGCTTGGGTTAAAATGATTAAATAAAAAGACAATGCTAATCAAGTGAAATTAATTTTTTTAAAGAATAGTTCCAAGGTCAAGGATGATGATGATGATGATGATGATGATGATGATGATGATTTTAACTTTGGAATTCGCCCATCAGAAAGAAATATTGAGTTTTACACAATGTTGTTTCTTATTTTCCTTTCGTTCTTTTTGTTTTTACACTTTTAACTTGTTATTTTTATTAAAAAAAAAGTTTTCTCTGCCTTCCTTTCATTTTTTTTCCTTATTTCTACGAACGTTTTCTTTTCTTCTACTAGATGTTTGTTGTTTTTTTTCTTTTCGGCATTTCTTTTTCTTTTTTTCTTCTTTTTTCTCCTAATTTACATCTGCTTCACTTCTTTTACTCGTTATTATTTTATTCAAGTTTCCTTTTTTTTTTCTTCTTCAAAGTCTTTCTCTCAGCTTGTCGCCATTTTCCCTAATTTCTCCTCGTTCTAAAATTTATTCTCGTTGTATGTCATTGACTGGTTTCCATCTATTCAAACATCAACGTGAATCAATATTCATTTTTAACAAGGATTTCCTTCATATTATTTCTGTTGCTTTCTAGCTGCATAACTAAATTTATTAGTTGGCCCTCACAGTCTAATTGGTAAGGCTCCTAGAAATACACAGAAAGAAAATACAGCCTCCTACGGCTAAGAAGAGAGATGTCCTCCAATCTCGCTGCCGAATTATTTTTTATTTCCAATGCCACAATGGTACTTTTGCGGTCGTAGAAACGCGGTCTTGGAATTATGATAAAAAGCAGCAGAAACAAGACGAAACAATTAATAAAATTAATAAATGTCGGTATTTCATCTAAGAAATTTGAATATTACTATTTTAAAATAGTTTCTGTATTTCTGCAGTTTGTTTAGTATTTTCATTGAACTATGAGAGTGGAACTTAAAAATATTTAAAAGTATGGTTTTAACGTTATTCTTTCTTTACAAATAAAGCAAGACAGAAAAATTTAGAGGAACCTTTGCGTATCAGTTCAATGTAGTAACCAGTTAGTTTCTTAAAAGAATGTACACTCTAAGTGTTAGTGTGCCTACGTATATATATATAAATATTATAATGTCATTTCCATATGTCATAACCAATGTTTTCTTTTTATTGTTTTAACAGAAAGATAAAGTCAAGCTGCTAAACTGGCAGCATTTATCGCCATTAGTTTCTTTTCTCTTTACGCTTTTATCTTTCTGTTCTCGTAGGATTTTGCTTTCAAATTTTATTTTTATCTTATTATTTCTTTCATTTACTCACAATCATTCTCTCCTTTTTTTTCTTGTTTTCTGTTTCTCTCCGTTTTTATTTCTTTTTATGCTGAGTCCGAACCCTTTGATACATTTTCCTCTTTTCTTCTTATTTTCTCCGAAACTTACCATCTTTCTTTCTTGCTTTCTTTCTACAGTTGTGTTCCTTTATTAGTTTTTTTAGTAATTCTTTCTTCACCAGTTCTTCCTTTTTTTTTTTACAAACTCTTTCTTTCTTTACTAATTCGTTCATTATTTTTTTTATTAATTTCATGATTCTTTCTTTTTTTAACAAGTCTGTCTATAATTCTTTCTTTCTTTCTTTATTGTTTATTTTCTTTTTTAATTTCTCATTTATTTTAACGTTTTTTTTTTCTCACTAATTTTGTTTTCTAAACTTTTTCTATATTTCTGTCTCGTGTTTTTAGCATGTTCAACTTTTTCTTTTTTCTTCAATCTTTTTTCTCTTTATTCATTTTCCTTCTCTCCTTCATTTCCTTTCTTAGTTCCCGGATTGTTTACGTTTTCTTTTTACGTAAGTTTTTATTCTCCTTTTTAGTTTAGCCTTCTCCTGTAGATTTTTCATCTTTTTTTTTTCAGGTTAGTTTATCACTATATTTTACCTCTTTTATGTTTCTTTTTTCTTTTTCCTCTCAGCGCGGTTCTTTTTGACTCAGATTTTTTTTTGTCAGTGACTTTTCCACACCAGATCCTTAACTTCGCCCGGGCAAGTGTGTGGTCAGGTCTGGGGTGGAGCGTAAGCCTAGAGGCAAGCCCCTCCTTGACTTCCAAACGAAATCGCACATGAACGACAAAAAATAAATAAATAAATAAAACTGAAGTAGCAGCAGCAGCAGTAGTAGTGATCATGCTCTTGTCGTAATGAAAACCATAAAAATCTCAGAGCGAGGAGCAGTGAGAAAGAAAGAAAAATCAAAGTTGCTAAAATAGAGGAATCCATAGTTCGAGTACTATCATATTGCAAACATACTTCCTCGAAGTTTTTCACTGTTGTTTTTTATTTATCTACTATCTCTTTTTTGAAAATTTTCTTACTAAGGTTGTTGGAAAAAATTTTTTCGAAAATTACTGATACACTGACAGGCAAAAACGGAAAAAAGAACGAAGGAAAAAAAAAAAAAAGGATGAAAGAATAAAATTGTTAAATTCACCTAGAGAGTATTGATGTAAGATGGATTCTCCTTAATCTCTTTATTCTTCAACTTCCTGTATCTCAACTTTATTTAATCTAGGAATGATGGAGAATATAATTAGTCAATTTTTCCGTATTAATGTATTCACGATTATTAAAGCTTAACTGTTGTTTTTTTTTTTTTTTTAATCTTCGCGTGAACATATATTTCACATACAGACACACTTTGTATCATTATTAAATACACACAAGGGCCGGTAACTGTAATATTAGCCTTTTTGGCATTCATTGACCGAGCAGCCGGTTGAAATTTATAAAATCTTTCTTTTGAAAGATTTTCTCTCAAGTCCAGTAACTTTTATCATTCTTTCCAGTACTGATGACGGTTTCCTTCCAAACATTTTGTTTGAAGTTGTGTGGAATGCTAATATCTTGGTTATGTCATAATGGTTGGCTACTCGTTCCTAAGTACACTCATCTGCTAGGATGGTTAGTTAATCCCTGTTGTAGACGTCCGCTCAAGCCTATTTTGTACTTTATCGATATCCACAGAGCTAACCTGTGGTTTATACTGCTATTCTTCTGATCAGATCTTAGTTACAGTTTCTGGGAGAGAGCGCAGTTCAATAGTTGAACAAGGCCAGTACGTTTAAACTCTCGGTATACACTCATACATGCATACATGCGTCCATTCATGCCTATTAAAAGCAAATAAAAGAATGCTATACGATATCCATCCTCTTGTATGGCACTGAACGCTGGAGAGACCTACCATAGATGAAGAGAGAACTTGAGGCGTGTGGTTCTACGGAAAGTTACTGAGAATGGAGCGAGTTAGCAACGACGAAGATTTAAAGAAAAGGACAACAAAGAACATATTCAGAATCAGAAAGAGAGAAAGAGACAGCTGAAATATCTGGGACACAAAATGAGGGCTTGGAGAATTAGACACTTACAGGGCTTATCGAAGTCAAGAGAGTGAGAGGGGAATGCAACACCACCTACATGACAAGTTCGTATGATTGCAGAGAGGCTTGACAAAGGGAGAAACAATTTTAAGCGCCATAAGTGAAAGGAGGTTATGGAGAACCATGAACGACAACGTCCTGAAGGTACACGGCACATACAATATGTGTGCATGTTCTGATTATAGGTGGAAAGAGAAGAATGAATTTGAATGCGAAAAAAATTAGGTAGACATATGTAGGAATGTATATATATATATATATGTGTGTGTGTGTATGTTTATATGTGTGTATATGTATACATGTGAAATAAAAAATAGAAATGAAAATAAAAAGTCCCAGATTAAAAAATCACACAATACCAACCGATATAGATAAAAAAAACAAACATGCACCGAGGCGGATAGACTCTCTTCAAATCTCAAGTCAGGAGGTGATAAACTAGGGTAATCAATTTGATTTATAATACCCACTTATCCTCAGAGATCCCGAAACATTTTCCCCATTCATAGTTTTGTCTATTTTTCAGTCAAACTGAGGAGGCCAAAGAGAGCATACGCTTTCTCCGGTGAAACGCGTCGTTGATCAAATTTTTCCACTTTGTCTCATAATCTATACCTTATGTTTCGGATGCTAATATTCATCCTACAAACACAGATGTTTTTACATATATGTAAATATTTGTACCCGTTTTTTTTTTTTATCGCTAATACGTTCATGCGTGTATTTCATTAGCGAAGTCGTTTTTTTTTAGGGTTTGGTCAAGAGTAAAGTAGAAAGAATTCAAAGCGGTGAATGTTGTCGTTCGCAGGACGTACAGTCGAGCGCGCAAATAAGGTTGATAGAAACTGTCTTAGCGTAAAAAGTAAAAAATTGTGTCTAGTTCTAACAATAACAACTCTAAAAACTACACAATAATACATTAGGCATACACGTCTTCAAGACGTTGGCGATTATGGCTCTCCACTGTTTGCTATCCTCAATGCTTAATAATTTTTTTGTTATCTCTTCCAAACACTGCTCTGCCAGCAATTTACACAAACTCGTTAGGTAGGTTATGTGCTGTTTTCGTCTTCCTTCTTGTCTTTAATATGTCCTGTGAGTGTCAAATTTTCCAAGTTCTCTTTCCTCATTATGTGCCCTAGAAATTTCAACCCTCTCTTCCTGATATTAAGTATAAGTGTCCTTTTTTTTCCATTTCCTCTAAAACTTCGTCTTAGTTCACATGTTCGGTCCATGGTATTCTCAGCATCCTTCTGTAGAACCACATTTCTGTTGCTTGAATAGTCTTCATCTGTAGTGCGGATATTTGCCCAGCATTCACTGTCATATAGGAGGAATCATATTACATAACACTTCATTACTCTTTTCTTTGTTTCTAACAAAATTTTCCTGTTTCTTAATAGTTTACTTAGCTTTTGAAAGGCAGCTTTCGCTATCCTCGGATTTCAGTGTCGCACTTTTCATTCTCTGTTAAAACACTTCCCAGGTAGGCCTACGTAAAGTACTCACTTGTTACAAAAGAAATGAAAATGCTTGGGTTTTGTTTAAAACAAAAGCTGGCACTCATTACATTGTTTCCTAATGTTAACACCTTGTACTGTACATATAGAGAGATGCACACACAGGCCCGGTACGTACTAATCCCGAACCCACCCACCCCAACTGGGTGAGGATCTAAGCCTGATTGGAGGCCTTGGGTAGTGCTTGGTGACACTCGCTATCTTATCGACATTTGCTTTTTTTTTATGTACATTTATATACGTTACAAATTAAACTAAGCACAACTGACTATTGAACAATGAAAAATTTTCCTGGTAAAATTTTCGTTTTTTTTTTTTTGTTCAAATCCTTGAATTTGTTATGCTCATGGTAAGTTTTGAAAAAACCCAAAAAACAAACAAAAACACTATATAAAATTTACTATTTATATGTTAAAATTATTCAACTTTTTATCAAGAAAAAGTTGATGTTAAAAATTGTCGCATTGCTGATTTAAGATTGAATGATCTATTATAACATGTCTCTAATTTGTATTTAGATATATTGTATTTATTTTCAACTTTTCTACTTAAATTGTTCACCTATATTGTATATGATCCATGATTGTACACGATTTGTTTGCAATAAAATTTGTATTTTATATGAATACTACCTTGTGAAAACTGAGATGTAGTTGAGTCAGGGGCCGTATCATAGATTTAGGGAGGGAGGACACGGGACACTTGCACCGGTTCTATGTACACATATAAATCAAACCGAGTAATACTAACTGTAGCGGAAAATGTGTTCGATATGTTTTTTTTTTTTTTTTTTTACATCAACAGAAGTTTCATGCAATATTATCAACAAATTGATCCTCTAAATCAGCGGTCGCCAAACTTTTGAACTTCATCGACTCCTAAAATGTAGAATTTTAAATTTGGCGGACCACTAATATGAATTTTGAAAAAAGAGGTAAAAATACATTTACATAATAATAATCGGAAAACTTTTATTTTATTAATATGAAATGCACCCATTAAAGCTAACAAAGGTATAGTGTAATTATTTAAATAAAACAAATTAAAAATTTGAAGTTTATTCAAATCCACTAAATTTTTTTTTAATATTTTGCAAGAATAGTTTTCGAGTAGAAATGCTTATGTTGTATCCTTAAAGAGGTTACAAACAATCAAAGGCGTTACTCGAGTGAAGGAATAGCAACACGCGTAGATGAAAAAGAGGTTTATGGTAAAGAGAAAGACAGAGAATCGAGTAGTAAGCTAGTAATTCCCAAAGCCAAAGGCCTCAGGTATATCCTGTGCTCACTATATATATATCTACTGATATAGTCAGTCCACATAGGCGATAGGGAGTGTGGGACATTCCATTACAACAGCTTATGAATTTGTATCTGGTGCCTAAGCCGATTTTTGAAGATCCCGCTATTATTCCGTTGCTGTGCTATGTTTGTAGAAAATTAAACTAGTAAACCATCCAGTAACTAGTTATCAACAGTAATGGTAAGAAACTATTCAGTAACAAGTATTGAACATGACTTTGCAAGTTATGTTAGGTTATACTATGGCTGGATGATGTCACATTTGTGTACTTGTGCACTCGTGTTTATTTCGGGATTACATAAGATCTTGAACATATATAGCATCCATAATACGTTTTGTTACTCGTCATTTTTTAATCTGAAGCTTCATAAAAATTGAAAGAACGTCCCAATTTTACGGTGGACCATCAAAAAATGTGGTTCGTGGACTATCGTTTGACGACCACTGCTCGAAATCAATCATGGGTAAACTGCGGCCCGCAGGCGATATGCTGCTTGATTGGCTTTCTGAATGGCACGCCTAATTTCACGAGGAAAATAACGTTTATTAAAACGTTGTTTGTTCTTCTTCGTTCCAAATTGCTCCATCACACATTCTCATTGCTACATATACGTAAACAATGATTAAGTACAATGTTTCTTGAATTTTGTAACTTTTCGTTGACAGTAACGTTGTCAGCAATTTAAACCATTGACGATTTTCACTAAGGAAGATCATAAGTGTAAGCACATTTTGCCTGAGAAACAGGAAACGTCAATGGGAATTATTTTTTTCTCGAGAGAATAAATATATTTATTTATTTACAAATATTTGGGTTTACTCAAATGAATATATATATATATATATATATATATATATATATATATATATATCAGCATACAGGCGCACTCAGGTCAGTGGATAACAGCAGGGTGAGAATACAGTGTGAGTAATAGGTCAGGTGGCTTAGGCCTAGGATTTTGAGAGGGCTTACTCCAACTGCTAGAGACAAAGATATCCCACTTTTTGTAAAGAATACTGTAAAGATAGCTAAGAAGGATCTTTCGACCTTCAAACTATCTTATCTCGCATACTGGGATGTTTTTTTTTTCCTCACAATGTGCCAGCGAGTATCTGTGCCAAATTATAATTCTTATCAATAGAATATTAATTGAACAGTAATCTATCTATTTGCTTAAATTTGTCATGTTCGGTTCACCCTCCTCCACGGTCATTTGAACAGGAGTAGAGGTTCATCCCTTGTTTCCTGTTTAGGATTGGGTTTCCGGTTCCTTCTAAAGTCTACTTCAACTCTATACTTCCCTATAAATCTGAAATTTTATTTACTATTTATTTATTTTTTCTCTTTTCAATAGGAGTAGATAATTTCTCCTATTGTCCGGTTCACACTCCTCCCAGGTTTTTTGAGCAGGAGTGGGTTCTTATCCCTTGTTTCCTGTTTAGTATTGGGTTTCCGGTTTCTCCTAAAGCCTTTTCTTTCTCAATTCACTTCCGGTAGCCCCTTGCCTTTTGGTAGCACTATCTCTTTGCTTTCGGCGGTGCCTCTTACTCTATAACCCTTTACTTCGTTTAGTCCTTGGGCCTTGTACAGAGTGAACATCATTGTAAAAAGAAAAAAAAAGGTTCTTCCTTGCTTTCTTTTGCTCCTCTTGCCTTCAACGTGACCTGTGAGAGTTACATTCAACAAGCCTCCTTTCCTCATTATGTGTCCCTAAAATTTCAGCTCTCTCTTTTTGGTTGTTAGCAAAATTTTCTTGGTGGCCCCTATTCTCCTTAAAACTTATCCCTAGCCTATATACTCTGTCCATAGTATTTTCAGCATTCGTCGATAGAACTACATTTGCCACTTCAAGTCATTTCTTAATCTGTAACGAAATTTGGCTCAGAAGCTCCCTTTGTTTTTAGTGTTATTTTTCAATTCCTTAATACTTTGCTCATTTTCTGAAAAGCATATTTTGTCATTCTTTCAGATTTCTCTAATCCTTCCTTTTCAACATCATTTTCCGTTTTCTGTTTGTTTGGTTATTTTTTCCCCCGAAAAACTAGCGACTGAAACTTCTAGAAAATAAATAAGGGTACTTAAAAGCTCTCCCCACCCCACAAAAAAAAAAAAAACTTAATTAAATAGTAGAATAATCCATCGAAAAAAATGTTCTTTTGAGAAAATCAGACGAGAAACATCAAATCGGAAATGTAAAAAAAAAATGAATATCTGATTTAGCATCCCCCCCCAACTTTTTAGTTAACCAGCTGACTTTTTTTATGAGTTACAAAGAACAGGAAGTTGTGGAGAGCCATGGTCACCCATGTTCTGAAGGGATACGGCACACAAAAGATGAGTGCCTGATATATCGATTGCAATATATTCTAAATAAAAGCAAAAAAAAACAAAAAACATGAAGTTCAAAAGAATTTACTGCTCTTTGTGACCAGATACGCAAGCTAAATACAAACGAATAGAGAGATTAAGATTTTCACTGCATACATCATAAGTACTTCTTAGTTCATCAAATCTATAGAAACGCATGCGCACATACTGCAGAGCAGACGTTTATTGCTAGCAAAACGTTTTTTGTCATACACGCGCATCGCGAGAGACGGAACGAATCTCCAAGCTATTCTTTTTAAATTTTGGATTGACGAAAGAAATGTCGCCAAACTTAATTTAGATGCGCGAACCATTAAGAAAAGGAATTGTAATGTACCAGCAGTAACTAAGTTTAGTAACGTAAAAAAACGTTTGGAAAAAAAGTATTAATCGTAAAAAAAGAACAGTAAATTATAAAATGTTTTGTTGTTGTTCTCCATTATTTGAATAGATACACTTAAGAACATGTATGTACACAATGAAGCAAGCGCGTATACACACACAAGCGAATAGGGATAATAAATAATATTGTTTTAATAAACAGTAGCGACTATGAAACATGTTAAATTTTCACTTAATGAATGTATGACATTGCTTTTTTTTTACTCATACAAGTCTATATATCACACACACATACACAAGCAGTCTTCTTAAGTACATGAGGTAGGCAAGTAGGTAACACACAAACACACGCACACACATCTTAAGACTTCAAGAAAAAATAGATAAGTATAGTAAGTCGTAACTGGAAGCTAAAAAAACAGGTTCTTTCCGAAGAGATGTTGTCGTGATAAAATGTTAATTTAGTTTAGACAAAATAAATCGTATTAAAAAATTCCGTCGCCTGAAGAATGTATTGTCGGAGATTTATCGACTGTAACGTTGCCACACTTGTAATACTTTTAATAGCCTTTTCTTCTTTTTCTTTTTCTTTTTTTTTTAAACCGAGGTGAGTAGTCCGAATAAGTTGGCAAGAAAGAGAATTTTCAGAGGAGTTATAGATTTTTTTTCCACAAACGCGTTTGGACTTAGCCAGCAGTTCATATACAAGAATGAATTGAACATCATGCCACGACTGGTAACAGACTTATTTTATTTTAAAAACTTATAACTTAAAAAGTTAAAAAGTTAAAATATTGTACATTTTTTATGAGTCGGCTTTAAGCGAATATTTCACATTCACAATAATAAAATACGAGGCTTCAAGTTGATTTTTATTGTTGTAAAAATCATCACATAACGAAAATATACACAAATAAATCATTTTTCAACTGTAATTGATTAGAAATCTAAACAGACTTAATTTAAAATTTTATAAAATCCAGTGTTTGAAAGTTTAAAAATATTACCCAAGTATGCCAGAGCGTGAGAAGCTATCAGCGAACCAACGGCGTTGACTTCACAACGAACAACATTATTCCATGAACGGCCCTGCCCGAAACAGTCACACACACGACCACCGCCCATTTCACACGCACGCTTCCCTCGACCACCAAAAAGACTTGGATGAGAGCATTCTTTGATTTAGTTATTCTTTTTAATTCATTAGAACTAAAGGAGTACAACAAGGAATTTACACTGTGTTCTTACCGTTTTCGAAGATAAAGGAATGGTAAGTAAACATGTTTTTACGACTCCTACTACAATATGTTTCTGTCAATGCAGTAAATATTTAAACAATAACTTGTCTTTCAGAGATAAATGCTTTTTTTTTGCAATTGACTCTTCTTTTATAGAGTATAGAAATGTTTTGTATTATTATTTAGTATTAGTATTAGTATTAGTATTAGTATTAGTACGTTTTTAGTAGTATCGTTGTAAGTTTAAAAACATTCAGTTAAGTTTCATCATTTCATTCAAAACATTGTTGTATTTTGAACTAATACACAATCATGCTTCTCGTGGTAATATTTGAATTAGTAATTCAAATCGACAAGAATACAGAAATGTTAACATTTTTATTAAACTATCAGAACGTTGTAAAATAAATAATAAATTTATCATAAACAAAAAAAAAACTACCATTATAAAATCACGGCTATGTTTTTTTTTTTTTTTTTTTTTCAGAACTATGCGCATCGTCTTAGTCTTAGACTTATTACTTCTTCACAGACATGCATACACACACACATACACACACAAACGCACACACACATACACACACACGCGCACCGGCACACACATTTACAATTTTGTTTTTATTCAATATTCTTACTGTGGCCTTTATCGATACAATAATGCAAGTGACCTCAGCATGTGAAGTTAAAAATACTTTCCAGTCAAATAAATTGAAGAAATAAATGGTTGAAAAAAATATTTAAATCATTACACTTTTGAAATAATGGATAATTGCATGGGCAAAAAGAAAAAAAAACTACGTTACACGTTTCTTCCCTAGAACGAGTCAGTTTTATATACCAACGGATTTATTACCTTACTATAATATATATATGTGTGTGTGTTAAAACAGTGAAATGTGTGTATATATATATATATATATATTATATATATGCAATTTATTACATATATTATTTATATATTATATATGCGCGGTACTTGTTGGAAACCGCTCAATATCAGTGATAGAGCTAACATTTAGTTGGATTGATGTGAATTTGTGACGCTGGGTTTCACGCTTATGCGATCGTCAGACAAACTTGTCTGACGATCGCAAAAGCGTGAAACTCAGGATCACAAATTCACATCAATCCAACTAAATATATAATCCAAGTGGATCCTAGTAATATACATTTTTAAACCTGAATCACAAAAAGAGCCTAATGTAATTTACAGAGCAGAAATTAATACACGATAAAATACAAAATCACCTCATATGGGGAATAATAGGGGAAGGAATAATAATAATAATAGGGGAAGATGGAAGAAATACAACAAATGCCGGTTCAAAAAGTTACTGATAAAGCGATAAAAATGATGCTGATCTTTTCGCTCTATCTGTGTGCATGTGCGCGCACGCGCCTCTGTTTGTGTGTGCGCTCGAACGCTCGTGCATGCGTGTGTGCGTGTGGCTATCACTTGACTGCATTGTAAATCTCACAGCTGAGATTGCAGGTTTACGAAAAAGTATTTTTGAAAGACTTCAGATTTTCAAAGAGGAATCAATTTTATACGAAAAAAAAAAAAGAAGATACATTCACGTGTATTTCAGTCGTTCAAGAAAAACAAATAAATGAACCGTCTGTTACTTTATCATCATCAGCATTATTATTATTATTATTATTATAGCAACAAATATCAAACCTAAAATTGAAACGCTGAATAATGTGTTTTAAAGAAATGGAATAAAAAACCGAAAAAGTCTTCTTATTGATTATTAAGCTTTCCTATTATTAAGGATTTCAAATAGAAGTATGTTTTTTCTTTCCTTATGGTTTACTTACGGTACTAGGCAATATGTGCGTATTTTTATTATTATCATTATCATTTTTTGTTTTAATCTTGCAAAAATCTGCTTAAAAGTTAAACACATTTCAGAATTAGAAAATAAAAACAGGACAATTGTTTTTATTGTGGCCTGCCGCCTGATCAATCTTGATTCTTGAAACAATAATTAACTGAACAGGTCTCTCTCTCTCTCTCTTTCTCCTCTCTCTCTCTCTCTTCTCTCTCTCTTCTCTCTCGCTGTAAACTATGAAAAATAATAAATGCAAATATAGACGAATAATAATATTCGCAACAGTAATATAAGTTGCCTCTCGACGAGATCAAGTGGCAACAAGTCTCATTCATTTCAACAGCACTTTCCTCGGTATTCTAGCAGATCTCGGTAATGTTCTTGTTTGAATTCTTTCAGTCTTATTGCAAAACTCTATCTTTAGGATTTTTTTCAAGATGTTCCTTTATTATTATTGAATGAGAAAGTGGCACGCCTACAAAATGACGCTTAGAGACAAATATATTACGACGCCCAACATGACACCCAGGCCGATAAAACGTATACCAGTTACATGCATCACAGCCAAATGTGCAGAATATTGCTACAGGTTTTGATAAAAGCAGCGCATAACCTTTACAGGTGGGGCTCACTTAGAAAACACCTTCATTTTTCAAGAAGGTAACGAAATCCACACAGACAGTCTCCGTTTGACTCCCAAATCATCTTCACTGCCTCATCCTTCAAATATAAAAAAATTAGCACTCGATACTCAGCCAAGATGATCTCCCGTTACACAGGTGTACAGTGTAGTCATTTGCTAGGAGGCATGACCAATTGTTTAATTTCAGCTAACTGACAAGAAAATCTGTGGTAGTAAACGGGATACAGGAGTATATAGTACATCTTAATTTACCAAGGCAAAATACATATGTTAACATCTCTAATTTATTAAACTCAGAGTTCAGTGGAGCCATGCATATGGTGTTGTTGTTGTTGTTATAATTTATCTATACCAAAGAAAAATAATAATAGAATAATTAAATTATACCATTTCCACTCTGTTCTTCTGCATATGGATAGAGAATGAATTCAGTAAATATACAAAAATAGAATGTGGTATATAAGACAAGGACGTGTCTTCTTACCGGATTTATTCAACCTATATAGTGAGATAATCTGAGAGAATTAGAAACCATACCAAGATTCATTATTGGCGACCACAATTTTAACAATAATTGGTGAGTATGGATGCAGACCCCTATACTGTTAGTACACTTTGTAGAGTTCGTGAAGAAACTTTTAAAAACTGTATAGTCTTCTCACCAGACTTATTCAATCTAAACAGTGAGGCGATTCTGAGAGGATTAGAAGTCAAGGATTCATTATTGGCAGCCACAATCTTAAGAACATAAAATATAAAGATGACATAGTGTTGATAGCAGACACAGAAAGACAGAAAGGAAACTATAAGAATCCCTACAGGAGATAGCCAAGGAAAGCGAGAAGAAAGGACTAAACATCAATGGCAAGAAGACAGAATGCATGGTTGTCAGCAAAAAGAACAACCTTACATACAAATTACAAATTGGCGATACCAAAACCAAACAGGTGGAATAAATTAAATATCTGGGAAGTATTTTCACGGAGGACAGAAAGTGAGACACTGAATTCCGAAGGCGCATTAGTATAGTAAAAGATGCCTTCCAAAAAACTAAGAAAAGTATTAAGAAACAGAAAAATATAATTAAAAACAAAGAAAAGAGTGCAAAACTGTTATGTAGTATCAGTGGATGCTGGACAATCTCTGCACAGATGAAAAAGAAACTTGAAGTAACAGAAATGTGGTTCTACAGAAGGATACTGAGAATACCATGGACCGGAAATATGAGCATTTAGAGAAAATGAAAAGAAAAAGAAGATTTATGCTTATTTTTAAGGCACATAATGAGGAAAGAGGGTTTGGAAAATTTTATACTCATGGGGCAAACTAGAGGCAAAAGGGACCGAAAAAGAACGCATAAACTACGTAGCGTGCTTGAGTAAATGGATGACAGGAGGAATAACAAAAAGACAACATTTATTAAGAGCTACAAAGGATAGGAAGTTGTGGAGATCCATGATCACCAGCGTCTTGAAGAGATACGATGCATAGAAGTAGAATAAGATTCTGAACGAGCATTTGTAAGAATTCATCTCGGGAATTATAAATTACCAAATTGGCTTCACGGTGACAAATAAAGGGGAAAAATTAATAATAATAAAAAAAAAAACTCGGGAGGTGGGGAGAAAGAGAAATAGATGAGAGAGTGGGAGAGAGGAATAGATGAGCGAGAGAGGGGGAGGAATGAGCGAGATGAGAGAGAGAATTTTTATGTTGTTAGTATCTACTCGTACATATTTACCGTTTCGGCAACTAACGCCGTGAGTGCACACTACCACACGACATCTATTAAAACTACGATGGCACTGCTTTCTAAGTTTGATTTTCCTAATCGATAACACCAACTTACAGAGCAACTCAGTAAGGATCAAATTCAATGCAATAGTATTCATGTGCAGCACTTGCTTATTAATCACTACACCCTACCCACTTTTATTTTCTATATTTGCTCAAAACGCTGGAAACATTTATAAAAGTTACTTTTTTTTTTGTAACTATCTTTAACGCGAGCAAAGTTACGTCTGCGAAATCTACTCTGACACTGGAGCAATTTAAAAAATGACGATTACTGACTTTTGACATTTTAGAATAACTTACAAGTATAAAGATTAGATTCGTGTGATAAATTCAAACACAAGTAGGGAGGAATTATGGTTAGAACTTCTACATGAAGATGGTTTGCCCGAAGTCAAAATCCTAGCTTTTTACAGTGTAGTTTGAATCCTAACACCTGATACTAGCAACTAAGTCACGGTGCATTCCTCTTTTGGCCTTGAGGCGGGAATTAACTAATACCCAGTTCTAAGGGGCAATCCTGACAGACAGCACCTCCTCCATTTTATTAAAAAAGAGGGAGGGCTAGGGCTAATTGTAGGCGCCTGTGGCACCCATCAAGGGAAAATTTCGAGGGGACAGAACTATTTTTGTTTTCCGGTCCCATATATATACTGAACCCCCACATTGAACTCGGCCTTATGTCATACTTTGTTCGAGTGTGCATGCGTATAAATAGCATCTGTCCAATCTATGATGCGGGTACAGCAGTATGAATGTG